TAATGTGGTGTATCACATTGAACAATTTGCAGGTGTCAAACCATCCTTGCATCCCTGGAATAAATCCCACTGATCATGGTGTATGATCCTTTTAATGTATTGTTGAATTAGGTTTGCTAATATTTTGTTGAGGTTTTTTGCATCTAAATTCATCAGGGATGTTGGCCTATAATCTTCTTTTGTGGTGTCCTTATCTGGTTTTGGTGCACCAGCTCTTTAAAGCTTCTTCCCATAGTAAGTCTCATGGCCAAACTTAACTTTAAGTGGGCAGAGAAGTAAAATTCTACCATGTGCCATGGAGAGAGAATGTATATATTTGTGAAAAGCCCTCATCGCTACCATACCTGGGAATTCATAAGAAACACCCTTTCTTATTGCTCGAAACTATTTTTACTGTTTGACCACTTTATAAAAACTATATGCATTATTTTCTCATTTAAAAACATGCTCACATTCAGAATTTTAAATCTGTCCAGAGATGAAGTTTAAACGATATGGTGAAAACTGAGAATAAATACTATTGTCTGATTACTGTAACCTTAACTGCAAGTTCAATTTTAAGAGTTGACAATAATTTTTTGTTTAAAAAAAGGTTGTATCTGCACAGCTAATGTATTAAAGTAATATTAAATTCCACAAATGGGTTTTTAGTTTTTATTTCTATTAAGCTACACAGATTATTCTAATAAGCTGGCAATGATCCATGTCTTCACTGGCCTTAAACATGTGAACATGTCTCTTTTAGTCCTCAGAATAAATGCATGATTCTGCAAATTGGGTATCGTTAACTTCAGTTTATAGAAAAGGAAAGTGAAGTTTGGACCACATGACAGTTAATTCAGTGGGCCATGATTATTTTCCCAACACATTATTTAAAAAACTGCAAACATGGGGCGCCTGGGTGGCTCAGTTGGTTAAGCGACTGCCTTCGGCTCAGGTCATGATCCTGGAGTCCCTGGATCAAGTCCTGCATCGGGCTCCCTGCTCGGCAGGGAGTCTGCTTCTCCCTCTGACCCTCCCCCCTCTCATGTGCTCGCTCTCTCTCATTCTCTCTCTCTCAAATAAATAAAATCTTTAAAAAAAAAAAAAAACCTGAAAACATACCCCAGTTTTGAAAAAAAAAAAACAAAAACAATAACAAAAAACTGCTTAGTGAGCACTCATAAAGTCAACAGAGTCTATATGTAACACTTTGCTTTATTTGCTTCATCATATATCTACCTATCCATCAACTGATCTTATTTTTTTTTTTTTTAAAGATTTTATTTATTTTTTTGACAGAGAGAGACACAGTCAGAGAGGGAACACAAGCAGGGGGAGTGGGAGAGGGAGAAGCAGGCTTCCCGCGGAGCAAGGAGCCCGATGTGGGACTCGATCCCGGGATCCCGGGATCATGACCTGAGCCGAAGGCAGACGCTTAACCGACTGAGCCACTCAGGCGCCCCTCAACTGATCTTATTTTTGATTCATTTCAAACTAGGCTGCAGACAGCAGTACACTTCACCCCTAAACAGAGTTCAATTATGTGTTTACTGCTCTATATTTTTGAAATTAAGTTATACAGTAAAATGCACAAGTGTATACTTGCATATGTTTTGACAAATGCATTCACCCACATAACCAAACCTCTATCAAGATATAAAAAACTTCCATTATCCCAGAAGGTTCTCTCATATTGGGCCTTGATTTGAACACATGATCCATCTCCAAAGTCCACAGTGTTTTCCACAACACTATGCTACTTCTTTCTAAAAGGTCCAGTGTGTAAGTATATTAAACATTAAGAATTTTATTCCTAACCTTCAATAATTAAAGTAGTTGAAATATGGAAATATGAAAGGAAGAAAATACTAGAGACATCCTCCACCAAAACCAGACAGTCTCAATATTTAATATCTGTAGTAAACAGATTGTACTACACTCCCTCCATTGACTTCCCCTAAATAAACAAAAACTTCTACTTGCCTCCCTAAGAGCTCAAGAGTTAATCCAAGAAGAATGGATGTGACAAAAAAAAAAAAAAATTCATATGTTCATCTCTTGTATCTTTAATTAAACCAACAGAGGCTTGGGGGTAAGACCATTTCTTATGCTTCTGAAGCAAGCAAGGTTAAGTGCCATATGCTTTAACGGTTACTATGAGAAGCAGTGGGGAATTGGAGAAAAAGCCAAAGCTTTGGAATCAGCCAAATCTGGGTTCAAATCTCTTCATTTATTAGCTATCTTAACAAACTACCTAACTTCTCCATGCCTCAGTATCTCATCTGTAAAATGAGGCCTATGTTTTACCTTCCTTTCAGTGTCCTTTCTCAAATAAATGATCTACAGGGAGATCCAGGCAGACCTCTGCCCTGGACCTCAAGTTTTAGGGGGAACTGCTCTGGCCCTCTTCTAGTCACACCCCTCCTCACAGGTGAAGAGACCATGGGTCCAAAAGAACATACACACCATGAACCCACACCTCTGCCACAGCCTATGCCCTGGGTAATCTAGACCCAGCAATTCCTTTGCCTAAACAGAGTAGCCTTGCCTCCAAGGTCTGAAAGAACCTATTCCCTGGGTCTCACTTGCTCAAGGAATATGAATGAATCATGGATTTGACGACTGGGGGGTTGAAACATTCGTGTGAAGCCATGTGAAGAGAATGCTGTGTGGGGTAGGAAGAGATATGGGTTTAGGCTCAGAAGGTGGGATGGGCTCAACACATGCAGACACATTCTGGCATGTAAGTCTGAAGAATCCAACTTCTTAGTTCAAACCTGAAGTTCAAGGTCCATATGAAGGCTGAGAATGATGGACAAACTAACCTGTGTTAGAAACCTGGCTCCAACACTTTCTAGATTTATGATCCTGAGTTTTTGCTTCCCCATCTGTGTCATCTTATAACATTCTTGTGAGAATGAAATGAAACTCAGGATATAAAACACACAGCACATGATCCATAGTCAATAAATGTTAACCCCCTGCCTCCTTTTCCTGTTGCTTCCAGGTGAATACATTAGTTTTCTCTCTTTCCCTCTGTGCATTTCCAAAGACTAAGTCCTTGGTCTCTTGACCTTTCTTTATGTTCCATGTCTACACTTTATCACACTTGTGAACCCAACTCCTCCAGAAAGGTGGTCCTGAATTGTCTGTGTCCATTTCTAAGTGTCCAGGCCTACATCTCTAAGTTTTACTAGTTATTTCTACTTGAGAATCCCACTGCCTACCAAATCAAACTGATCCTTTTCCTCACAAAGTGAAGAATGGAAAGCAAAAGACCAGGGAGAGCATAAAATACTACAAAGACAAAATTGATAGGATGAATGATAAAGAAGCTGATTTCATGGTTTCAAGCTTGTCTGAGAAAATTACAAAAATTGAGAAGATTCTCATAAATCATGTCCAAAATTTTCTCCCTTTTTCCTTCAGACATGAAGCTCTAATCCTTCCATTTCCCTAACCCATGAAGCCCAAAATCTTCTCATTCCTTTGGATTCTCTCACATTTAAGTGCTCTGTTCATCAAACATCTAATTATATACTATCTCCTATTACTGATTTTCATAAATTTACATCCTATCTTCCTAACTATGCTGCAAGTTCTTTAAGGCCAACAACCATCTCTTATATTTTTAGTGTTCTTCATAATGCTGATTGACTACTATTATGAAGATATGGTCAAGAACTCAGAAATCATAGGGCGCCTGGGTGGCTCAGTCGGTTAAGCGACTGCCTTCGGCTCAGGTCATGATCCCAGGGTCCTGGGAT